ATTGTATGTTAAGTCATTTGTCTTAAATTTTTAATGTCTGAAGAAGATACAAAATTCGCAAGCCCAAAAATTCTTTGTACAGCATACTAGTGAAAAAATTTCAGGTACTCGAAAATACTCGAGTATACTTTTAAGTACTCGTAAAGAAAACCACCGAGTACGAGTACTGAAGATTTTGTACTCGAGTATACTCGTACTCGCCCATCTCTGGCCCAACAACATGAAACTCAGTTTCATTGTCTTCTCATCTGAGTCCGTTTCCTTTCGAAAATAAGACATCCGGAATGTTTCAGCATACAGTCGCTTATTTTTCCATCTGTCTAGTTTATCTTGTTCTGGCCTGGTCTACGAAAAAAGGAAAATTGAATAATACGTTTCAGTTTTTGTTCTACTTATACCAACCATATTAATACCGCCGCCTTTCAGTCGCTCACTCTCCAGGTATTGTTCACATGTTTGAATCATATCTGTTCGCGCGAGCTCCATATCAAAACTTGAAAACGCATCGTTCTGTTTTTCCATAACGAGAAAAATTTCTTTGATGCGCCGGAACCACAAGTAGGAGCAGGCAGCTTGAGACAAACCATTCACTGATGTCTTTTTCGCCGTGAACAGTTTGGTTGGGAGGACGAGATCGGCTTCATCGCTCGATGGAACGATTGTTGTCGGCGCATCGTTTGAAACCATTAACGAAGTAGGCAAGATGGATTGTGCGTCTTGTTGGCTAGGAATGGCTGGCAAAGGTGGCTTCGATTGACTGGATAATGATGGATTAAATGAATTCGACAACGCACTAGGTGTTGGCTTTAGTGGCTCTCTCAGTCCTTGACGTTCAGAGTTTCCTTTTAAAATGGGTCTTCTGCGTGACATTTCCTTAACAACGTTCACGTTCTGCTATTGTCGTGTTTCCTTACAAACGTATCGCAGCCTCTGCCAAGATTTTGCCTCTTCTCACACTCTAATGACGATGACGCCAAATTTATGGAAGCATAGAACACGAAGAAAGGGTATGGTGAAAAAAGTTAAAAAGAAAAATATTAAACGACTAATATTAAAATTTAATTAAATATTTTTCTTATTGTAAGATAGAAAAATCTGTAGAGAGATAAGAAGAGCAGCTGAAGAAGAGTTGAAGCAACAGAAAGAACAGCATGAATTAACTCTTCGTCTACGTCATCGAAGTTCTAGCCGAGTAGAAAGACGATTTAATCCGATGGGTATTCCATTCGAACAGACATCACCCGTCGCACGAGCAGCTGCTTTTTTTATCTCTCGGTCCGACGGCATGCCCACAAGATCGTGTACACTCCCAAGGGTCGAAAAACTTGGGTTAGACATGGTTTTGTAGCGCTGAATTTGCTCTATCTATAACAAAACACCGCGCCTCTGCATCATGTACTAATCGAAAATTATTAAAAAAATGGCCACCCGCCTTTTAAGTTGAAATGGATATTAGTATAATGTTTCAACCAACGGTAAGGTTTCATATCCTCTGTCCGAAACTCTCAGAAATTCATTCTTAAAAATGTCCATATTCTAATTGTTGCTCATGATATTAACCATGCTCAACCAGTATGGGGCACCCCTAAAACATTGCCATCTTGGTTGTAGAAGACAGACACACGAGCTAATCTATAGTCGCACGTAACGCACCAGCTTTCGTCCACTTTATCCACGTCGAGGTCTGAAACAACAACAAAAGTAGAGAAATAGTCATAATAAACTAAAGAAGAGTTCGATACAAAGAAATTTGCTTTTGTACACTTGTTATCAACAAAAGCTCATTTTAGAATTGCGGAATCGTCTTACTCGGATTTTCGCACTTGATTTCTTCAACTGCTGCATCCACCGGCATGCCGACCAGATTGGGCCACGACTTTTTTTCCAACTTCGGTGGTTCCATGCTATTTCTACCACATTTACATTAGTTGTGAGTGTGCAATTTGAAACATTCAGCGTTTGTAGCACTTGACAAGTTGATCATTTTGGTGTAAAATTGTTATAGTGTTTGACATCGTCGACTTACGGCCATCACAAAACTCGCGTATTATGCCATAAGCTCATTCTAACCCAAAGAGAGGAGGCGTATAAGACAGTAAATCAACCCTTCGACTTTCGTTGTTCGAACTTCAAGTTGGATACATAACCTAACAGACCTCGTCGAGCTGAGTATTTTTTGTGACGAAACTTGACGTTCAAAATGAAATCCTGAAAAGTAGTATGGTATCAGTTTTTGACCTTATTTGTCCATTTTCCCCATATATAGTCTGATGCCTTCTTTATCTAGAAGACGGAAACAGAACCAGATCTTTTATACCGCAATCTAAAGGTGATATCTTGCTCTTTCTTCACTAAAACTGTCACCTCTTTCCGTTGAGTCCTGATGGAGTTATATTCCGACTCCCTGACGGCTCAAAATAAGACCGTGGAGTGGGACAATGGTCGACTGTGTAATCCTTATTTTGCGCCGTCAGGGGGTCCCGTAAAAAGTCCTGCGGGACTGGGACTGTCCCGTAGACCTCTAACTGCAAATTGTTGCGAAAATATTATACTCGTGGATACTCGACATTACTCTATTACTTAGATAGTGCCGAGTATTACTTAGAGTTGCCAGATGTGTGGCTCAATCTGGTCGGCATGCCGGTGGATGCAGCAGTTGAAGAAATCAAGTGCGAAAATCCGAGTAAGACGATTCCGCAACGGTTCTGTGCGATCTCGAGCTCTGGTCTGTGCCGGCACAGACGATGATGCCGGTTGCAGATTTGATGCCGTTCGATTCGCCTTGAAACATAGAACAAACCCATGGATCCTTTCTTCAAAATTTCTTTTCATTTCTGAAACTTTTTACTTTTACTGAAATTTCACAGCTCAGTCAAAATCGACGACACACTAACTCAAAATAAGGGGAAAGTAGCAAAAGGGGTGGACAGAAAAACGTCGGCAGACAAATGTCGAAACGCATAGTGCCGACAAAAGAAAAATGTCGATGTAGAAAAATGTCGACCGTGCAAAATGTCGACAATTGAAGAAAATAACAGAATTGACCTGTGATCAAATTATATTTCTTATTGACTAAGTTAAAATCTAATAAACGTGAGTAAGAAGTTCATTGTACGTACAACCCAATTCTTCTACTGATAACAAGCAGAAAACTACACATTTCGCCTTTGCAGAAAACTGCAACAGTGAATTGTGCACTTCCTAGTCATATCATGTAGAACAATTGAGGTTGCGCAATCGTTGTGCCTACAGTGTCACCGACATCTGATTATAATATAGGTAGTTTCGTTTAAAAAACCAAAATAAAATGAGTGCTGTGCAAATTGGTTTAAGCTGAGTGATGTAGGTCGGAGTGGTTGATAATTAGAAAAACAATAAAAACACGTGTTTTTAACACAAAGCGAGGACAAAGAAAGAGCGGTAGCATTAGGTGAAAAGGACAAATAATTTGCCTATCCGATTAACAATGAATTTTTCACATGTAGAATTGATTATGTTTCTGCTTTTTCCTTTCATTTATTTGAAACGTTTTCGTAAAGCAGAGGGAATTAGGTTTGCCAAGATAAAGTTTTAAAAATAGCAAAACTCGTGACATAACAAAGCCAAGTGGAATTCTGAGACTATTGTTTAAAAATATAAATTTTATACAGTAAATCATGCGTTTCACAATAAGAAAAAGATAGATGTAATATTGCTAAAAATGTGCGAGACTAACTTTGATATGATATTTTCCGATCGAGAACGATCAATTATTTCCGTTAATTGCTTTATGAAATAAGTTTTTCTCTAAAAAACCAATTCTACATAGTAATTAGAAACATGCTTGACATATATAACGTGTTCTAAAGTTCAGAAGTGTACACAAAAGGAAATAGATAAAAGGATCTCTTACTCTAAGCGGACAACATTGGTTTTTGCATCGATGACCGGAAACCGATCGTCAGCTTGTATTGTGCTGGATAATCCAGAGGTTCAACTGGTCCAAGACTTCACCACAGAGAGCTGCATGATCAGCGAGCGTTGTCTACGTATTTGAGGAAGGATCGTACAGTTCATATGTGTTATGTCATAAAGTCCTTAAAGGACACATATGCCCGCACGAATGAACATTCTGATCTATACTTTCTACAGAGATGCATGATAATTAAACTTAACTCATTTACTCAACTATATTGTTTCAATGCAACGACATTAGTGACGCTTTCACTCTATTGATTCTAATCATTTCACACTAATAGTGACATCTCAAAAAGAAAACTGGCTTTTACCGAAAGTGAATCAAAGATTAAGATTTTTCCATACAACAGAGCAAATGAATCAACTTTATTTATAATACATCTCTGTAGAATGTATAAATCAGAATGTTCATTCATTGTGTTATACTAAGGACGGAAAGAGATCATAAAGTGTTTATAAGTGACCTTCATTTTTCTAATGCTCATATTTTATCACGACTACGATACTTGTATTGCTAAATCTGTTTCTTTTTTCAAGGTATCTCTATAATGTATAATGTATATCGATGGAATCTAAAGTACTTGTTGGTGATGTGCCAACATCGTTTTTTGTAACAAAATCAAGTTTCAGTTTTGCTTGTCAAAGCAAATTATATAATAACCCTTGACAATATGGTGATTGTCCAATCACATGTCATTAATCATTTTCTCATTATCTAACACATTTTTGTGTGATAGAGTATTGGGGGGAGGGGGAGACGTGATGGGTGAGAGTGAGACACGTAGTTATGGCTCACTTGAGTCTTTTGCCAAAATAAGGTATTCGAAATAATCTTTTTTGCCTAAAACGTCACCTTCTATTCCCGGCCACCTTCTGTTTAGGCATTAACGTTTAATGTACACTATTCTTAAGGTACAACCTGTCTTGGCTTGCCTTGATGCTTGTCTAATCAGTTCACATTGACTTCTATGGTAATACAGTTGTTCAATTATTTATGGAAAACTGTCAAGTTCTGGAAGTTGTCAAACCTTCTGTGGGAGTATTCTTGGCCTCAAGAATTTTGATCTCTCTGACCCTTGAAACGTTGATGATGGAGG